TAAGAATTATTAATAATGTGAAATTTAAAAGCATGCAAACCCTAGTACAAAAATGTAATATATTGCAGCTCACCAGTCCCTACATGTTGTGGCTGCATTAGTTTCTTTTTTTTTTTCAAGCTTTTTTCCCTTTAATTTTTCCTGATGATCCTGCCAGTAGTACACTTCCTGTCCTAAGGTGGCAAGGCTGTCATCTCGGCAAAGGCATATATTGATTCCACTAACCTCACAAGCAAAGAAAGGAGGAAGGAGAAAAAAAAGGAGAGATAGAGAATTTTTTTTAAATTATCCCACAGACCTGGCCTTTAACCTTGCAATATTTGTTATCTGAGAAAACTTTATTTCTTCATTTTTACGCACTAAATTTTACACTTCATGGACCCACTGGTCCTATACACAGGTTGAAGTTGCACGTCAATTTGTTGTTGTTATCTTTGCGGCTGCGCCCACCTATGCCGACGTGATTCTACCCCACTCAGTCTATGCTACAACCTTAAATTGTTTTTTTTTTTTTTTTTCATTCTTTTGCAGTGGTCGTTTTTGAGCAAATCCACCTTTTTAAGGCGCTCCAATTTGGCTCAACTGAGTTGGGGACCTTCTGGTATGTGTTTGTTGGACTAGATGGAGACCCCCTCCAGTCCCTAAATTCATTAATTTACAGCTTCACCTAATCTGTAAACCTCACATGGATCATATACAGTAAGTTTGTTTTGTGAGGTATTGCTTGGGAGGGCAGCATGTCCTCTCCAGGCTGGACCAATCCTATACAGGAAAAGACCCAGAACTCAGTGTGCTCGCTGAAAATATAAAGTTGCCCAGCATGCCATCAGAGCCTCGCTGTCTGAGATAGGCTAGGGCTCTGTCAATATTCATGCTGCCATCTGTATAGCTCCACACCTATTATCCAGAAGCTTTTCAAGCTTTCTGGATGCAGAGGGAGCTGTAAGGATACTAGCAGCTAAACATACTGAGCAGACCTTACTAGCAGAACACAGCAACACTGATTATGGTGTGCAAGGTATACTTTTACCTAACAACAATTACAACCACAATGTCTACAGTGTGACAACTAAATTTACCTATCAAAATACAAACTATATTGTATCTATCTAAACCTAGCACTTATCTAGGAAGATGCTATTTTCCTTGAAATGGCACAGCTCCTAAAATTTGAACTGGTTTAAAGCAGAACTTCAGCCAAAAATGACATAATAAAATAAATAGCCCTTTAAAAGATAAAATAACAAAACCAGCTGCTGGGGAATTCTGTACATGGCTTCGAGTAGACTATAGGCCTGACAGTGGTTATGATCTTGTTCCCCTCAGCTCCTCTAGTTAGATAGAGAGTTAAGCATCAGACATTTGTGAGAAGTGCCAGTTGTATATGGTATTAGGCATGCGAAATGCTAGATTTTCCCATATCCAGTCAACTTGTTCTAGGTAAGAGACTCTGGGTTATCTTGTTCTAAGTGAACTAGTTTTGGCTAAATAATGAGAGTGCCTTCTGGAAATTCACAGAGTTTGTAGTTACAGAGGATTACATAAGTAGGTTTGGTTGATATTAGTGAGGGGTATATCATTTGTTATTCAGCTCTTTAAATACATGATCAAAATAGTATCAATATATGGTGAAATTTAAACAATTTGGCACTTTCTTCTTTGCTGCTAAAGCACCATGTATATGCGTACAATAATTTTGTACACAAGACTGGATTTTTCAACAATTGGTGGAGAATGCGGGCACCAGTATATCACTTCATCTACTAGACCAAGATGGCTCGGCTCTGGAGGATAGGTAAGCTATAATAACCTAAGTCTCTCCCCACTTGCTTAGTCTTTCTGAGACCTGGTAGTATTGCATAACAGGTGATTTGATCTCTGTTTTGCCGCGATATATTTTGTGTGCCTGTAACTGGATGCAGCCTGGTGCTGTTTGCTTTGTTTTTAAGCTAATGTAGGCTAATAAGTGTGTAGATGACACTGAATTGATGTAAACTAATATGGGATTGCCTGCAATGATACAAACTTTTACTTCACTTGCTAAATTTCCCACTAACCATACTAGTTGACTTTCAGAATATATAGATTGGGGATTGCTTGTTGCCAGAGCACTTAGACACCTTGTCATTGGAAGACATTAATATAGACTGAGAGAGCTGATTTGGGGATTGATATCAACACTGGCAAATAGGGTGACAGTGAAAAAGAATTTGTTTGAATCATGACAGTATTCATGACTGTTGAGTGGGAAAGAAAGATGTGCAATGCACCACACAAACCTGTAGATCACAGATACCTGTTAGGGCAGCAGTGAGCAGAATGCTTGTGGCTGGGAGTGTGCGCACATATATGACATACACAGAGACATACAGAGAAGCGTATAGGCATCGCATAGCCTGCAAGTATGGGACAAAAAGTGCTGTCTTGGCAGTCAGAGGAGGGAGGTTTCTTCTGAGTGTGAGAGCCTGAGAGATGGGTCAGCCCTTCTGTTGAAATTGCAGTACAAGGACAAAACCGCTTGGAATACACCGCTGGATTGAGATCCATGTGATGCAGCAGATAAATCAAATTCAAGTCATCCTGTGTATCCTCCTCCTTACAGGCCAGATTATAACAAAGTGAGCAACATTTAACTAGCACTGAGCAAAAAAACAAGTCGATAAGGGTGAGGTGAACTAATACATCTTTTTTTTTGGAAGAGAGAGATGTTAAAAAAAGGTATAAAATCCATATTGCACTATATTTATAGGAGCTCATTAAACATTTTTTGGTTTTGGAAAAAGTGCACTTAAAGGGGTAAAGGTTCTATGAAACCTGTTCTTAAGGTGATTGTAAAGCTTCTTTTTTTAAATAATAATAAATATATTATACTTACCTGCTCTGTGCAATAAGTTTGCACAGAGCAGCTCTGATCCTCTACTTCTGGGGTCTCTGTCGATGCTCCTGGCTCCACCTCTTCAGCTGGCCGCACTGCCTACGTCTATAGATGCTCTGTCCCTCATCACAGGATTTGATTGACAGCAGCATGAGCCCTGCCCTATGAGGAGTTTGAGAGCAGAGACAACTGCTGCTCTTGGACACAGTGCTGGATCAAGTTCAGGCTCAGGTAAATATAATGGGGGTGAGGGTCTGCTGTCTAACGTTTACCAGCTGCTTCATACAGGTACTTGCAAGGACTATAAAGTGCCTGCACTTCAACACTACTGTAGTTTTAGGCCTGGTCAGGTTCACTTTAAATAATTGATACAAATCTATGTAAAATGATAGCTGGCCAATATAGATAACTGTGTTTCAAATATGTTAATACTGTTAAAATAATTAAGTCTTATTGTGGAAGGAAGCAGAAAAATGAAAGAGAGACAACCAGAGAATTATTTGCTCATAATTTGAATAACACAAAGCTTGCATGCTGAAAATAAAAAACAATTTAATTTGCATATCCTATTGTGGGCAAAGGCCTATAATTTCACACAAGGCTCTGTTCTGCTGTCAAGCGAGATAAAACTGAAACCATTGCTATACTTGGTATATCATTACGCTTCTTAAACTCAAAGAAAAGGTCACTGAATCTTATATAGGTTACCAATAGGTGGTCATATAGGAAACAGTGAATGGTTTATTTTTATTTTGAGTTTTAATTTTTTTTATACAAATTTTTTATATAAAAAGATAAAGCTGATTTCTGCCTTTAGTTGATGCAAGAGTGAGAGATTTTTATCTGGATTTTAAATTTAGTGATTGGATCTTCTATACTGAAAGCACAATTTTACCCAGCATTTCTGAGAAGACTGCTTTCAGATTTAATATACAATACCAGCTGAGCAACAAGGGGAATACTACAATCTCCGTGCTTTTCAAGATACTTACCTTACACCTGTTAAAGACCTTTTACAATAATAAGGTCCACTATTTAAGGTGAGCATGTGTCCAATTGGAGTAAGCTTGGCCACACAAGTATTCTGCATTATTTCAGGCACTTTAATAATGAAGATTTCAGAAAGGAGTGCACTTTCTCATTATAATATTTATTTGGACTTTTGGAACAGTTGATGCATTGGGCAGGATTTTCTAAAGGCAAATAGGCTGTTCGCTTTGCAAGGGAAGCAGCACTTTGCAAGGAAATGTTCCCCAGAGATTAGTAAATGTGGTGAAATTTCACTTTTCAAAGAATACCATATTTAAAAAACAACATTTTTTATTGGATGGTGAAAGTGTGCAGAGCTTCACCTCATTCAATAAACGCTGTGAAAAATTCCCTTGCAAAATGAACAGTCTATTTGCCTTAAGTAATTCAACCCCAATGAAACTACATCCTTATGAACTTATTGCATAGTTGATACACTACAGCATACACCCATGTGAAGGCTGTGATTGCCCACATGGGGATGCACAAGTGTTCAGTGCATCCCCATTCAGGGAGTCCCATTCATGTCAACTGGGACAAAGCCACTGCTCCCAATTTGACAGCCTGATTGGTGAGCTCGAGGTTGCGCAATCGTACCCAGACAGCTGCTACATTGGGACCCGCAGCTATGTCTTGACATGAATAGAACTGCTCTATAGTGCATGCATGTGAACAAGGCCTTATTGATTTTTTTTTTTTTTTTTTTTTTTTTTTTTTAGGTACATATGGATTTTTGCAATTATAGAAAGATACTAATTTATTGCTTCTCATCAGCTCTTGTTCACTAAGATGTTTTACACATAATAGTGTGAATAATTATTATTTAAATGTATTCTATATAGATGTATTTAGTGTAGTGCAGCACATTTTTGCATCTATTGATTATCTGGATTCATTTGATTATTTGTGCAACCAGTACAAAAATCTTTAAAAATATTTTTTTTCTAAAAATTTCTTTAGCAATACTGTAAATAGTTTACTTCTGTCCTATACCTGGCTTGTATTTTCAAAGCTTTCAAGTGGAATATAATTTAACTGATGCCATCCCAATAAAGTATGAAGAAAACATAACATTCAGTCACATCCTGTCTATTACCTGCAATTTCTTCCAAGGAGTTGGCCCTCATGTCCAGCAGCACAGTACCATGCAGAATACAACTTCTCAATTCAAACAGACTGTGAAGTGACAGTGTGGCCACGTAGGGTTTGCTCCATCGTTCTCCACCATCTTCAACATCTTCTTCAAACTTCAACCACCTAGCAAATGAAGACATGAACAAACTTGAGTCCAATACTGAACTCTGTTTTAAAAAGTATTTTGTTCACATAGAACCAGAGTGGCTGATAAGAGGGTACCACCAGTCCTCCTGTAGGGGGCCCAAACAGCAGGTGGGCAACTGCAAGGAAGGATGCACCATGCAGCTCTCTGCAGCAGCTCAATGGCGGTTTCTCCTCCTCTCTCTCTCCCTTTTAGCTGCTGCAGGGAGAGACACACAGGGCAATGTTCCTGTAATTGCCAATGCCTCACTGATCCCCCTTCCTGTCCTGCCCACGTCTGATTTCCCTTTCTGTGTGCTCCCCACCCCCTGCAGTGCTACCAGCTTCCCTCTCCCGCTGGCTGCTGTGGATACACAGGGGAATCCTCAAAATGGAGAGTGGAGGAAGGGGCCGGTTGATATGTCATTTACCAGCCCCTTCTTTTCTGAATGAACACAGTGAGTGACTGGTACTGATCACTCCTGTGCCCATTCATAACTGAAGCATAGTAAACTGTGTCTACTATGCTTTAGTTTGTGAATGAACGGAAGCCTCTGTCTCGATATATCTTCAGGGCAACAGAGGCTACAGAGAAAAGAATTGAAAAAGCTAATATTTCACCCAAGCCCCCCCCCCCCCCCAAAAAAAAACCAAGCATTGTAAAAAAAATTGTAACAAATACATTCATTTAAAAAAGTCATTTTTGAAAACTGTAAACAAAATCATTTAAAAAATTGTTTAAAAATGTGTAAAAAATAATTTGTAGAAATTGTAAAAAGTGACCCCAAATACACACTGTCAGTGTTTGGAAGCCATACACCTGCATCCACATACCTGCCAAATTAGGACATGTGGCTGTGTATGTAAAGCTGCTGTGTTCCCATAGCCTGTACACAGCAATATCCACATTAAAAAGGAAAAAAACTCTGATTCACACTGTACTGGCCACAGCACCTATGTGAATGAACCCCAAGACCTGATTTACACACAGAACTTTATATATTACTCTGTACCATTTTATCCTTTAGAATTAGCAGGCATTTTGTAAGTTATGTTATGCTTGTGTCTGCTAATAATTATTTTAGTGTATTTTTAGTGGAAATATCGATTTCATATTTTCATGGGGGGGGCTGTCAGGCAGGCTATAGAGGGCCCCGTCTAACGGAAGCCAGCAGCCCAGCACAGAAAAGTTCTTATTAAAAAAAGTACCAAGAATCCAGTTCAAGGTAAGAAGTAAATATGCTGAAGCCAGGCTTTTATGTCCGATGGTTAGAATATGGAAGAGCAAAGCTAGAATTTGCATTACATTCTTGAATACAACTGAATACATTACATTCTTGAATACAACTGAATACATTACATTCTTGAAATACTGAATACATTTCATTTGTGAATACATATTAATACATTACATTCTCGGATACAACCGAATACATTTCATTTGTGAGCACGAATGTAATACATTACATTCTTGATGCAATTGAAATTGTATTGCATTTATTATTGAAGTTTATATAATTTAAATGGGTCTGTTTATAAAGCAGTGAGTGGAAGTTCATCAAACATTCTCAGGTTCACGTTTTAAAGCATATCTTTGGTCAACAGTTAAAATCATATATTAATTTCCACATTGTATTTCAAGCATTTCTAGCGTATTCTCATTAATCTTAATAATCTTGTTGTTTGTAAACTTAGTTGCAAAGATCCCCCCACATTTACCTCCTGGAATTCTGTGACATATATTTACTATGCCTTGTGATTGGGCACTGCTGTGTCACACCTTTTTACAGAGCCTGCCTTGTGAACTACAGACGTGCTGAGAGGAGGAGTTTCAGGAGATGGAGATAGTACAGGAATCACTGCTTGCAGGCAGAAAGGTATCATGGGATATCTAGTCCTTAGGAATTTAATGTAGACAGCAAAGGAGAAGCTACAAAGCATGCAAAGAATCCAGGAAGTTGTGGAAAGAGACACCAGTAGACAGGCAGAGCTCACAGGATGAAAATAGATTTTTAAGTACGATTATATTGTACTCTCAAGAGTATCTTTTATTTGTTGGCTATTAAAATGCTGATGTTATAAAACGAAAGTGTATGCTGTGACCATAGAGTTCCTTTAAATGACTGATTGTCAGTGATTGATTCTCCACCAGTGAATGTCTGGTGAAAGCCACATTTGCTACTTTATAAATAGCCTCCAAAGTGTACCTCCAGTATTGTTGAAAAAAAAATTCCTCTCCATCTCAGTGACACACTGAAAGGATTGTAGTAAACTTCAACACAACCACCTTCTGGTAAACCATCAACTGCATGTTACTGACTTCCTGTTTCCTCTTTGCTAAGTGGGAGGGATCTGCCTGCTGCAGTCACATGATCAGCCATAGTGTTGTATAAAGAGAAAAACTGCTGACAAAAGCTACGAGCCAATCACATGGGTAAGACATGACATTTCTAAGGGTCCTCTAAACAATTAAAGCAAAAAGAACTCTTCCGGTTACCATTGTTTCAAGGAATTTATACAGAACAATACAGCAGCTGACTGCAGATTGCAATGGAGAGGTATGGCTTGTATGGCAATTGTGTAAGTTATATAATTTTTTTCTTCTCAAAAAGTTAAGCTGGTCATACACATATAGATTACTATCTGTTCAGCCTGCGGACTGAATGAAAAAAAAAAAAATATTCCTCCATTAATGCTATACAGCAAGGGCAAACAAATCTCCCAAGGCAGCTATGGTATTCTAACAGCCAGCACTAGCAGATGCCATAATACTCAAATGAGGGCTGCATCTGGTTGGATGCACCTGCTGTTCATCTGACATTTTTCTATCTGGTTCCTTTGATTTTTAAATTGAAGGATGGTGCCCAGAAAGAAGCCAATGGGGGCACCCACTGAGGTAATTTTGGATGGTTCATCAGCATGTGGGTGAAATTTGAACAGTGTATGGTCAGGTTAAGCCTTTAACCTCCCTAGCGGTCTGATTATGTCAGTATTTCTGTGCTCAAAGCGGTACATTTTTTGCATGGAAATATGTATTTTTTTTATTGTAGGCCTGTAATTTTTAGGAATAACTCACTGAAATCTGTCCCGAGTCTAGTAAACATCCCGGGTATGTTACAATTTGAAACACGAAATCATAAATTATAATTTAATAAATAATCATAAAAAATAATAATATAATAATAATAAATTTAATTCAATAATATAATCAAACCAAAAACACTGAAATTTGAAATATAGCGCCACGTTCGCACAACACTGCGCAAAGTCGCAAAATCGCTTTCAGTGTCTGATGATGAATTTCCCCACGAATCATCACTCAATTCTGCAAGTGGTTCTGATTTACTATCGCTGTTTTCTAGCTGGTCTAAAACCGCTTTTGACCTAAAGGGACGCTTTTTGGATGCCATGGACGTTTCTCAGTTTCCAGGCACAAAGAACAGTAAAAATGCAGACAGGGCACAGGACAAAGCACTTGGGACAAAATGTGTGTGAAATGGTTTCATATAGTAATGTTTTACTATGTGATTTTAGTGAATTTAGTGAATGTCACTTTTTGTCATTTTCAAATTTCCTGCCATTCCGTCCCCGTACGTCCCGATGTCGCAGGGGACGGGACCCAGATGACAGATGCCGGCATCCGCCGGAGGACATTGCAGGGGACACTGCAGGAGGGACATTGCGGGAGCGCAGGACAAGGTAAGTGATCAAGGGATCCCGGAGCAGCGCCGCATGGTAAGCCCGAGTGTAGCTCGGGGTTACAGCTTGTGGTACTGAACCTTTTCCCCCGAGCTACACTCGGGAATATCGCCAGGGAGGTTAATTGAAGCTTTTATTTTGCCACACAAAACACATAAGTTGCAAAATGTCAAGAAACTCATCAATTTTTAACCAACAAACAAAAGATTTCCCAGCATACTTATCAGCCAGCCTGCAAAACAATTGAATTGACTCTTTCTAACAAGTCACGTTAAAACAGACGTTTTGCAAACACTTGGAAATATATGCGTAAGCTGCAGTGCCTATGTCAAGGCTCCTCTGTAAGCTGCAGTCCTAACTCTATAAATATTTGAGAACATATAGCAATGGATAAATTATGGGCAGGTGTACCTGGAGGGAGCCCACCCTTCCTTAAAGACACAGGGACGCACGTCATGCCCTGTAGTTCCCGTACCCAATTCAACCAACTGTGCAAAAAAGCGGCAACCACCCCCAACCTATAACTAGCCTTTGCAGTAAAGGCACATGGAAGGGGAACGCATGTCACAAACAAACTGAGTCCTTCTCCTGTGCTGCTGTTTGGTCAGTGGCTGCTACCAGGCCTATCAGCTGATCTGCTCCTTCCCTGTCGCCAGGTGGTCCTCTCTCAAGGGGCCAATGAAGTCTGCAGCTTTCCTCCTTTCTAGCATCACTTCTGGAGGCAAGCCCCTTCCAGCCTGGGCTCCCTCCCAGGCTCCGGCACTTCAGTTTTACTCTTCTGCCTCCTTCCTCCTCCTCTTCTCTTGCTACTGAGCAGGCTCTCTTACTTTTAAGGGTTGTCCTTGCCCCTTCCAAGCCTCCTGTTGGGGATCCTCAAGAGTACAAGCCAGCCACTCCTCAGATCCACCCACTGCCTCTAGACCTTCCTCCAAAGCTCTAGACCATGGGAAATTTCCAGAGGGTCTGGCTTGCATAACCTCTCAGCTCTGAGCACAATTTGACCCCACTCTGGCTATTACACCTGGGAAGCTGCTCAGCCCCCATCAATCATTGGAGTATAGCTCTTCCTAGCTATCTAGGAAGGAGCTACACTGCTATACAAACCTAGTTGACAATATGGAGAGTGGGAGCAAATGTTGTTACTAAATATTGGTTAGTTAAATTGAGAATGTTCACTTTGTGAACTAATTAATTCATCTACATGTTCCAACTTAAAGTTTGTGTAAACCCAAGATTTATTTTTCAGTATGACACCGTGTCTCATTGTATACTGTTTTCTTATCATCTAGTTTTGAATCTACTGCAAAGTTTCTTACCTTAGACCAGTAAAAGTACTTCCTGTTTCAGGCTGACAACGCTAAGCCACGGCTCCTTTATTAGCAGCAAAGTTGTCAGCATGCCAAGAACACTCCCTCAGTTGGCTGTGGAAGCAGGAGTATACACCTGATAGGCTTCCTGGTAGACAGCCCAATGGCCTACTGAAGAAGTGCTCACAGAAGCCTGACAATGCTACTGGTAATTTCAAGGCAGAGGTCATCTTGTCAGCCTGAATATTAGATTTTGGGTTAACATACACTTTAATATCAACACTCAACTGACAACTCCAAAATCAAAGCCTATCACAAGAAAAGTATTTCCCAGTTCAGATCTATATGGCCGCATGTGCAGTTTCCAGCTCCTTACTCCTCGGTGTCTTTATACTTTTCTATTTAATTTAGGATAAGATTAGTTTTTATATTGGCCTGCAGTGTTTCTGGCTCTGTTTAGGAGTGCACTGGATGAGGGCCACTAGGAAGACTTGGAAAGTGGAGTAAAGATGTGACTGCCAAGTGCACTGAACAGGTCTTTCCCGAGGGCATTACCTCTGCCAATAAGACAGCTCATTTATGATTCCTGCAGCAACATTTTACCCTAATATAAGAATTATGCCCTAGCAGAATGTAAAGACACAAAGCGGTAACTGCAAACACTACTATATAGATCTGGACTGGGAACCTATTCTGTGTGGTAGACTGCCCCAACACCACACACTCTCACCCTACCCACCCCCCTCACCCCCACCACCCCCACTTCACATTCCCCCCCCCCCCCCCCACCGTGGTGATTATGGAGCATTTGGAGGCTAAGTCTTAATAATAATTTTAAGTATGTAAATGAATGCAAACTTCATCTGCAGATTTTAGCCTATTAGAAAATAAAAAAAAACAAAGTCAATTATAGCTGTAATATTCAGCTTCAATCCAAATTTCACCAACAGTACATTTTCTGTCATCAGATGTCCTCATTCTGATGGCCAGCATTATTCAACCCACTTCCTATGAGCCCAGATCATCCTGGACCAGGGGCGGACTGACAACTCATGGGGCCCCCAGGCAATAGGGGATCATGGGGCCCCTGTGTTCTTGCCCAAACTCAAAAAAGCCTATGAAAAAGGTACCAGGGGCATCTCATGGGGCCCCCTACTGACCCCGGTCCCTCGGGCAGTGCCCTAGTTTCCAAATGGTCAGTCCGCCCCTGTCCTGGACCCACCTCAGACTGTTACTAGACATTTAAGGAGAAGCAGCAAGGGGGTAATGCTAGATCAAATGCAGGTACCTACGGTACTTACATTTCTTTAATTTAAAAAATACATTTAATGATGTATAAATGGATACAAAGCTGAACTAATCTTGTCTTTACATTCATTTTTATCAGCCACATTCATCAACCACAATGACTGGTTGTAGAGGATCTATGTGTTTTTACTAGACATTTATTAGAGGGCAATGTGAATATTTGCAAAGAAAAAAACCATATGTGAATGAGGACTTTACCGTTATGCACTAATTTCTGGCACTTTCTTTGTTTAACAAAGGTTGACAAAATACATAATCAAAATACATATCCCCATGACTAAGCTCTGTGGGTAGAGTTCAATGAGTTGGGGGCATGGCCTGATTGGAGCCTGGGCTGAGGCTGTCATACACCTTCTTACGGGGTTTTGCAGAGATGTGCAACTTCCAGGACTTTTCCATTGACAAAATAAATGTTTAATTCCTGAAAGAGAACAGGACTGGATAGCTTGTTGCTGGCTCCTAGATGTGCATAAATAACAAATTAGACTCAGAGGAACTGTCATTAACCTTTATAGGTTTCTGCAAAGACTCCAGTGATTATGATGTATTGAATCTGGGGTGGCAGGCTAACAGAAAACAGAGGTATGGCATAATAGGGCAGTATTGAATAGATGTCATCCCTAGACTAAAACAGAGGGAATGCAGGCCAGCCCCTCAATCTAAATTAGTGTAAGTATTCAAAAGATCCCATGGTCTCCTCAGACTAGTAAGGATGATTATACCAGCTCTAGAATTACAGATCAACTTTCGCTTTCTGTAGATTACTGTATATTTGGTACCACTAACCTGGCCATTTCCCGCCATTCAGCATCATCACCTTCTCGTAAACAGATTTCATCCAGCTCTGTAAATAAGTCATGTGGAATATGTTCTTCATCGTCATCTTCTGTCCCCAGGATAAACTGAACCCTCTGAGATGGAGTGTCTGCAATTACAAGACCCCATTAGCCTCTGTGTTATAAGGCATGGAGACTTTTAACAGGAGGTTCTTAAAGTGGTAGTCCGGTCAAAACCAAACCAGCGGCCAGCTTCAGGGGACAGGAGAGGCAGCAACAATGGTTGCAGAGCCTGGGTGGTGACATCATCGCATAGGTTTACTATGAGGCATCCGTTGTCCACTATTACTTCTCTACCCTGAAGCAGGTGCTGGGAGCCAATTACGTGGCCGGACTGGTGCGCCCTTAGATTAGCTAAGTATAAGCATCTTTCCTTTACAGGGTGGTTAGTAGAGAGGACTTGGAATTTGGGTGGGAGCACCTTTAAGCCATGTTAGCTTTTGACCGGACTTAACTGGTGATATCCATTTGAACCACGGTATGGGACCTAATCTCTAAATAATTAAAAACAAACACAATCAGTGTGCTCTAGACTACTGAACCAGAAATCAATGCGGAATCAACTTAATGTGTCAGATAGAATTCAAGTGGCATTGTCAGTTTCTGTACCTTTATTTCCATGTTTTGACTGCACAAAAACAACAGCATGGTTTGCCATTTTCTATATGAGTACATTTGCTTTTTTTTCAGCTGTCTAGGTATTCAAATGTAAAGTAAAGCCTAACTATTTACATCTTTTTAAAATTATATTGGTACCTAATAGGACTGATTATGATTATATTTTTTCAGGGTTAAAGTGTCACTAAGTTCTGGTTTAAAAAAAATATATATATACTGTATATTTATGTAATGTATTACTAAATCAAAAAGTACCTTCTATTGCTCCCAGTCTCCTTCAAATCTCCAGATTCCTTTTATTTGCCACTGTAATCTAAATACCTGTTAGAGGATTTTTACATTTGTTCTCCATGGTCCCACTGTATGTAGGAACATAGCCACCCTCTCTTGCTTGCTCCTAAGATGAACTAGGGACTGTGGACTATGGGATTTGCACTCTGTATACAGCAGTGCTCATGGCCGCAATTAACTAGCACTGCCATTTCCAAACAAATGGAACTTAGTGGAAAAAGGAGATGTTCTGTGCTCACAGAGCATGTTGCAAGGAGGCATAAAACACAGTAAGAAATAATTTAATGAGAAATAGATTTGAGGGCCATTGTGATGTGTACGGACTTCTTTTGGAGAATAAAGGTATTGTTAGTGACACTTTAACTTTATCCTTGTCTCTGAGAAAAGAAGGTGAAGATACAAAAAAACAGAACAGTCTATGAAGAGGAGCGGCTAACAGAAAGCAGCAATGACCTGCCAAAGGGTCCATACATTCTGAGTACAGACCTTGAACAAAGCACTAACAAACCCAATCAATGCACTAGATAGGGAAAGCCAATATGAAAAAATTTTCTACATCTGTCAAGGATTGATCACTCAACAGATAAAAGAAAAACAATTACTGATAAATATATTATGAAGTCTATTATCAAGGGATGACCTATGGTGTCTGGGGGAAATACCCTGTAGAAAAGTATTACACCAAATATATAATTCCGCTGAGGAATTTTGGCATATGCTTATTAATGAAGAATATTATTTGATTTGCTAACCTAAGGTTGTGCAGCATCATTTTCAATAGGCGAGAAACAACAAGTGAAATGCTTTACCGTATGTAGGAGATTCCCGTCCATCTTCTAAACCTGAGTCCCGTTCCCTGTCCTTTTTTCGGTGTTTGTGTCCACGATGTCGGTGACTGTGACGACGATGGCTTTTCCTGCCACCAAGTGGTACATGAACTCCAATGAATAATGTTCGATGGCCTACAGAAATAAAAAGTTGATGTTACTTTCCTTGGGAAAGGAAAAACAAATTATTACTGTATTTTTCTACAAACTTTTCATACAGAATATGCAAAACATAAATGAACACATAATGTGCTTCAGTTTCTCATAAACATTACCTTCTGCTTTATATCTGTCTATCACTAATGGAGTTATCTTACCCAGGTCTATTAGACATCACACTGCTCCCACATGTCCCCACCTTAAGGTTGCATTCACACCTAAGCAGGTGATTTTCAGGTGTTTTGAGGCATTTTTATTACAGCTTTTTTTGCACAGTAGGATCTCATGCACACAGGGCTTTAAAAAACGCAATTTTTCCAGCCTGTAAACACACCCCTATGCTAGCCTATGGGGTTGATTTACTAAAATTGGAGAGTGCAAAATCAGGTGCAGCTCTGCATAGCAACCAATCAGCTTTCAGTTTTTTTTGTCAACGCTTATTGAACAAGCTGAAGTTAGAAGCTAATTGGCTACCGCACCAGCAGCACCAGATTTTGCACTCTCCAGTTTTACTAAATCAACCCCTATGTGTCCATGCATTTACAAGCATATTAGAAGAAAAGCATTTACAGGCATTCAGGAGAAGAGGTTGTGGGCAGAAAAAATGCAGGACACGCCTAAAAGCATCTAAACGTTAAGTGTGTTTAGCGCTTGAGCATTCATTAGTTCCAATGACCATAATAAAATACTTCCTAAAGGCTTGATGCGCCTAAACGCGTCTCAATGTGCCAATGTATTTATTGCTAATGTGCCAATGTACAAAACATGGCTTTTTTCCTGCCGCAAAGGTGTTCAAGGGAGCAAAATAAGCATGCTGTGTGCATGAGGTTTTATAGTATAAGCATTTTCACACCACATTTCTAGCGTTTTATATGTGTATTCAAGCTTCACGTGTTTTTTGTTTAGGCAATAAAAAGCACTAGGGGGAGCAGACCTAAAAAAAAAGGTCTAATACCTCACTTAGAGTACCTTATGTAGCTTTTGGAGCTTCTGGCTTCAAGCTACAGGAACCTAAGTATGAATACCTAAGTATGAATAGCCACCATTTAATTAGATGGGATTTTGAGAGTTTTGGAGATTTGAGCTTCAAGCTACAAAATGGTCCTGATTTAAATGGGGCCTAAAGGATACCGGTCATGGCAGAGGTAAATAGCCTGCTACTGCTTGTTTTCTCCTGAAAATACTAGTTGTCTGCATTCTTCGGACTGGACTGCACCAACATGCACACAACATTTCACAAGGTGACATCAAGATGCATCAACTGGGAGTGTCGAACAACCAGTCTTCTGGGCCACCACCTGCCCAAACCTTATGTCAACAGCATGAAGAAATGCATAGTAAACAATGACAATAAAATGACTCAGCAGTCATGCTAATGAGAGTTTCACAATGATGACATAGGGATCTAGTGGAATGGGGGAGATTGGTAGAGAGGTGGTAGAGAGTGTTGAAGACAACCTGGAAGACTCTATCTGCCAGTCTAGGAAGTGCTGGCTTTGCTTTACGATTGGAACAAAGATATACAGTATCTGCTCATCAGATTCACATAACTGCAGCAGAGAGGGTTTAGCCAAGTACTCATAGTTACATAGTTAGTCTGGCTGAAAAAAGACAAAAGTCTATCCAGTTCAACCATAGAAAAAAAAAAGTTATAATATTATACCCACAGTTGATCCAGAGGAAGGCAAAAAAATCCCCAGCAAAGCACAATCCAATTTGCTCCTGCTAGGAAAAAAAATGCCTTCCTGATCCCCTGAGAGGCAATCGGATATTCCCTGGATCAACTTTACCTATAAATGTCAGTATCCAGTTATATTCTGTGTATCTAAGAAATAATCCAGGCCTTTTTTGAAGCAATCCACTGAGCTGGCCAGAACCAACTCTTGAGGGAGTCTATTCCACATTTTCACAGCTCTCACTGTGAAGAAACTTTTCCGTGTTTGGAAAAATCACTGCACACATCTGCACAAACCTTTCTGTGTTTGGAGATTACATTTCTTTTCCTCCAGACGTAAAGAGTGCCCCCTTGTCCTCTGTGATGACGTCAGGGTGAATAGCTCTACACCGAGTTCACTATATGAACCACTGATGTATTTATACATGTTGATCATAGCCCCCCTTAATCTCCTCTTCTCAAGAGAAGAAAAATTCAGTTCCTCTAATCTTTCCTCATAGCTGAGCTCCTCCATGCCTCTTATCAGTTTGGTTGTCCTTCTCTGTACCCATCTACAGTTAGTATGGTAAGTAATAGGTAGAGGCAGGGTCTCTTTAAAGCTTCTCACAATTAAAATTGTAATAATTTATGCTTGTATGAAAAATACAAATATAAACTATTCATAGCCATGCGTGCAAATAAGTTTGCACACAACTATTTTAAGGCCAATCTCCCTTCCCCCATGCTCATAATATTTGTTATGCATCTGGCAGAAAGGAACATGTAGCAGAGCTCATTAACTGATCTAAATGGAGTGTGCAGAAGTGTACGACAAACATATATTCCTTAGCACTTGACTGAAATTTACAAGGCTAATTTACATTTTTCTGTTTCCCCGAGGTACAGTATGATGATCAGAACGCTGAAAACTGTATAATGAACACTAGACATTTCTTCAAAGTTCTTTCTGTCACGCCTAGATTTTCCTTGGTGCCAGATGCCTTTGTAGAAACATTATGGAATACTCAGTATGTTCCTCCTCTGGGTTCACACCATCTATCCAAAAATTTTGAAACAGTATTTGCATACAATTTAATCATCCATTGTGTCAGATGGGAAATGTTCAAAATGTGTCACCGTGCAGCAATTATCACCTTCCCTAATGTAAAGCAAGCTAGCACAAATTGTCATTCACACACAAAAAATCAAATAATAATAACTTGAGTTTATCAATGATCAGATCTTGCTTGTTGCCAAAAGGCAACTGTCTTTCACACAATTGTGGAGTATATTCCAGAATTCTGTAGGTTCCTGTATCTAAGTATAGATGAACAAAACTCCTACCACCAGTAAATATATAAATATCTTCCAATGGGCAAAATTATATTTTACAAAAATGTAAAGACCTTAATAGTAACTTACTAAGTTATCACACTGTCCTTTTTTACTATATCTAATTTATCAGCAATGCAGAAAAAGGTAAGGTTGTACTTTAAATATACAAAAAAGATAAATATATATTTTTTCTAATAAAGCTTATTGATATTGTTATGGGTAGCACCCTCCTAGTTAGGTGCTAGAAGTGACGCAAATTTGCTTTTTGGGCTCTGCTGTAGTAGTGAAGTTGCAGTTGTGTTTTGCCTACTCGGAGTTCTGCAGCTGCAGTCTTGCCAGGCTCCCCCTGTCTTTCCAGAAATCCCTGGAACATAATGGGCAGAAAGGGTAAAGTCTGAGCTGGCCCTTTATACAGCCTCAGCCAATCCCTGGTTGGGAAAAGTGCCTGGCAGGGGGTTGAGAGAGGTATATGAAGGTTGGATCAGGGTCCTTTGCCTTCTGGAGATTGACCCAGCCTGGAAGTGCTGTTAAAGTAGTTCTAAAGGCTCGGGTTTTTTTTATGCATTGTATGCATGAAGGTAAAACATCTTCTGTGTGTAGCAGCCCCCCCAACACTTACCTGAGCCCCATCCCAATCCAGCAATGTCTGTGAGAGCCTTGGTTCTATGGGGACTCTCACCCCTGATTGGTTGAGGCTAATAGCTCCCGATACTGTCAATCACAGCCAGTGAGCCACTCAGGAGAGGGAGGGGGTAGGGCCGAGCTGCAGCTCTGTGGACACACAGAGACGCAGCACAGGAGCGCCTGCTTGGGTGCCCCATAGCAAGCTGCTTGCTGTGGGGGCATCCCACAAGGGGGAGGGGCCAGGAGTGCTGGTGGGGGACCTGAGAAGAGGAGGATCCAGGCTTCCTCTGTACAAAACCACTGCACAGAGCAGGTAACTATGACATGTTTGTTATTAAAATAAAAAAAAAACAAGACTTTAGTATCACTTTAAACCTTCCAAGGCTTAGGAAGAGCATTATGAAGTTCTAGATGATTCAAGCTCACCAAGGAGCAGAAGGAATATCCCAAAGTCACAGAAACACCAGGGCAACATCTAAAGAGGATCTTCCTAGGATACGTTGTGTCAGAGTCAGCTGAAGTGGAGGAGGCCTTCAGACTACCGGAGTCACAGTGAGTAGGCGTAGGAGAAACCTGAGAGGGAGAGAGATTGTTGCCTGTACACCCCTTCTTCATTGAGGGACTGTTCCAGACCTGCGCCATTAGAGGAAACCCCTTCCTGTGCTAAAGCTGTTGCTACCTTTTGTGTGGAAAACTCTGCTTTACTTCGGTTAACTGCTTTAAGATAGTGTCTTCATTCAAGTTGTTTAGTTTGGGGCATCCCAAAGCTTTTCCCAATCCTTATACCAGTTCTGCAAAACAAATAAAGCAACAAAAAAAACACTATCTGCCTGACTACCGTCTGAGGACTGAGTGGGATTTAATGCACCTAGCTGGAAATACTCTGTGCCTGGCTGCTTGCTCCATTAAAGGATTAGAACCTGGGTTAACAGTGGGATCACTCACAAGGTCTCTGCTACATACAGTTAGAGGGAAAAAAAGAGGGTAAGAGGATGCAGAGACACAGTCACACAAGAGAGGGTAATAGGATGCGGAGACACAGTCACACAGGAGAGGAAAGAGAGTAAGAGGATGCAGAGACACAGTCACAGAAGAGAGGGTAAGAGGATGCAGAGACACAGTCACACCGGAGAGGAAAGAGAGTAAGTGTAAGAGGATGCAGAGACACAGTCACACAGGAGAGGAAAGAGGGTAAGAGGATGCAGAGACAGTCACACAGGAGAGGGTAAGAGGATGCAGAGACGGAGTCATATGGCAGAGGAGAGAGGGTAAAATGATGCAAAGACAGAGTCACATTGCAGAGGAGAGAGGATAAGAGAATGCAGAGACAGAGTCACACAGGAGAGGGGAGAGGGTAAGAGGATTCAGAGGGT